CTGTGGGTCCCCTGGGTCGCTGTGGGTCACTGTGTGTCCTGGTGCTGTGGGTCACTACATATGTATATATGGGTCAGTATGGGTGGCTGTGGGTCACTGTGGGTCCTGGTGCTGTGGGTCCCTGGGTTGTTGTGGGTCACTGTGGGTCCTGGTGCTGTGGGTCACTACATATGTGTATGTGTGGGTCAGTATGGGTTGTCTGCTGTGGGTCACTGTGGGTCCCTATGGATTGCTGTGGGTCACTGTGAGTCAGTGTGGGTCCCTGTGGCTTTCTATTGGTCACTATGGGTCGCTGTGGGTCGCTGTGGGTGGCTGTGGGTCCCTGGGTTACTGTGGGTCCCTGTGGGTGCACTGCTGGCACACCTGACTGATATATGGGTCACTATGGGTCCCTGTGGGTTCCTGTGGGTCGCTATGGGTCACTGTGGGTCGCTGTGGGTCACTGTGGGTCCCTGGGTTGCTGTGGGTCCCTGTGGGTGCACTGCTGGCACACCTGACTGATATATGGGTCGCTATGGGTCCCTGTGGGTCCCTGTGGGTCGCTATGGGTCGCTGTGGGTCCCTGGGTTGCTGTGGGTCCCTGTGGGTGCACTCCTGGCCCACCTGACTGATTTATGGGTCGCTATGGGTCCCTGTGGGTTCCTGTGGGTCGCTATGGGTCACTGTGGGTCCCTGGGTTGCTGTGGGTCCCTGTGGGTGCACTGCTGGCACACCTGACTGATATATGGGTCGCTATGGGTCACTGTGGGTCTCTGTGGGTCACTGTGGGTCCCTGGGTTGCTGTGGGTCCCTGTGGATGCACTGCTGGCCCACCTGACTGATATATGGGTCGCTATGGGTCCCTGTGGGTCCCTGTGGGTCGCTATGGGTCACTGTGGGTCCCTGGGTTGCTGTGGGTCCCTGTGGGTGCACTCCTGGCCCACCTGACTGATATATGGGTCGCTATGGGTCCCTGTGGGTCGCTGTGGGTCGCTATGGGTCACTGTGGGTCCCTGGGTTGCTGTGGGTCCCTGTGGGTGCACTGCTGGCACACCTGACTGATATATGGGTCGCTATGGGTCCCTGTGGGTCTCTGTGGGTCACTGTGGGTTGCAGTGCTGTGGGTCACTATGGGGCACTGTTGGACATATTGAGCACTGTGGATCACTGGGTGTCGCTGTGGGTCACCGGGTCACTGTGGGTCACTGTGGGTCTCTGTGGGTCACTGTGGGTCCCTGGGTTGCTGTGGGTCCCTGGGTCTCTGTGGGTCCCTGTGGGTGCACTCCTGGCCCACCTGACTGATATATG